TATATATAAGAATTAGATTGGATTTTGTAACCAGTCTTTTCGCACATTGTCCGTGGTCTGTTCTATCCATATCATGCTCGCAGATTTCTGTGGATAAAGAAATATATCTGTTAGCTATGTCACGAACACAATGTAACATTTGGTAACAAAGGCCTACCTGGTTATTGCGGTAAAAGTTCTAAATGTAGTGTTGTCGATTCAAAATTACGGTAGATTTAAGTAGTTCTGGCTGATGTCAGGCGGCAGTGAATATTTCTTGCCCATGATGGACCTTGCGGGGACAGTTTTGAATAGTTTTAGGGTGATGAGTGCAGTCAACCTCATCCTGATCGAACCTAACCTCGTAGTAACTGAAGCTATTCGAAGAAATCTCTGCTTCTCACTTGAGTTGAATCGAAGCCGAAATTTCGAAATTGTTACTCTGAAGACCTAACCGCGGCCCATGAAGTTCGACGATGATGTGATTCGATCGTATCTTCTAGTCGAAGCGGACAAGAAACTACTGAAGTGCCGTTTCAAATTATTGATTAACGTTGACTACACTGATTTCATTGCGAGCCTTTTGGTGGCGTGTCAAACGGGGCTAAATTCGAACGAACCTTAGCCGAGTCTCGAATGGAAGACAGTTTCCATAGGTTACAAGAACACCATTGAGAGTAGAATCGTTCAGTTAGTCTTTGTGACGGTTTATATCTAGGTATTTTTTTTTACTTCCTATTTCACCTGTACGGATCAGTAGCAAATATCTTCTAATTTATTACGGCCCATATGCGACCGCTAAGAACGATCAAAAGGAGTTATTGCCGCGTACAAGCATCAAGGGCGCACATTTTCTCGTTGAGGAAGGTGAGAGGCATACATGTAGAGCTTCCATTGTTTTGAAGCAGTCCGGCGTCTGCACGAAAAGAAGCACCAAATCTGTCAAATGAAGCGATCGCGAGTTCTATTGAAGATTCCGTCGAGAACATTGCGACCTGTACGTTTGTATGTTAAAATTCTTGAATATATTGCATAATCATTTCAAGAATAAGTACGTTGCCTGTAGCGCATTCTGTAGTAGAGCAGGTTGGTATATAGAATCAATTAGTCGGTGGAGCAGTCTTCAGTCAATATTACGCTCACGTAAAAAGCCCTTGGCAATCTTGTAGGACATTACCGGTTACTTGAAGAGGCTAACTGTTTTTGTGATTGATAGTACTAAGTTAATTTGTAACGAGAACAGAAAAGAACGCGGACCCTAATACCGCGGAAGTATAGGTTCATCGTCATCTTTAAATTGCAAACAATTTCGAGCTTCATGCGAAACCGCTGGTATTAGATCTTAGGTAGTTGAAAGAGATCTATTTCTTGCTAGCCAACTGATTAAATGCAAATACACGTTTACACACATACAGCTTTTTTTAAAATCATTAATTAAAATAAATGATAGAGACTTGTAAAGCATGACGTAGCTTTTCTAGCTATGGTAAAGCAAGTGACAAAAAAATCATATCTTAATCTTCATTTCTTCAATAGCTCTATTTAAGCATTGACTGCTTAAACAAAATCTGTCCGGGGGAAATACGTGTAGGACTATACAATCAATATCGTCAAATAACCAAATTGATCCGAGCCTCTGTGATAAGAAGTGATGCTGTTTTAGGGAAGAAGTATTATTTATTTACTTTAAAAGTCCTGGCTGCTGAATCCACGATAGACAATGATATACTGCCTGTCTTTTAATCGAAAAAAAGGATTTTTTTTAAGCTGAAATAAGAAAAATATCTTCTTACATCTAGCCTAATTTATTCTCTCATTGTTCTAATACCTAACAACGATTCACTCTCGTGCCTACAGCATGTAAACATCTATTTACTGCATTTACCAAACTTTTACCCAAACTGAGAAATTATTCACAGTTAGGCGTACACATACAATGTTCAACTAATTTATATAATAATCGGCTTCCCTTCCCAGTAGACAAAAATTGGTGTTCCACTATCGTATTTGATAAACGACAGCCAGTTCGTGACTATCCGCCAAAATCGTGCTGTGTTTTTCATTTGTCTATTATTAAGGCCTTTTTAGAAGAAAAAAACAGCAGATTAGTACAGGCTGTATTGGTTTTTCACAGTTAATATATATATATATATATATGTATATGTATATATATATATGATACGATGGCGTTAAGGCCGAACGATTATTTCATTTATTGTTGATCGGAAGATTTCGAGCAGTGGGAAATTTTCAGTCGCATTAAATACATGCTAGGTAGGTTAGTTAACAAGCTAAAACTAGCTGGTAGGCTTGCTCAAGACAATTCCTTAAAAAACGGAACGAAAATTAGCCCCGCAACCGAACAATAATAATTTAAACGGAAAAAAAAATACACATCTACAAGATACATTCCGAATTAACATTACTACAAACAGTACAATGTTCTTTCAACTATAGCGATTTGTTCATTGAAGAGATTATACAGCGTCATATATTTGCTTGACTCACATGGTAAACGATCGGTGTGTCAAATGAAACATTTACCAAATTTCAATAAACAATGAAAACGCTTCCTTTTGCTATAGCATTTTATCCATGTCTATCTTTACAATAACAAGTATTGTAGTAACTATTTGTCAAGTCATTTTCGCTGACCAGCCAGATGTATCTCGGATATGTGTATCGAATTGATTTACTCTGACGCAGCTGCCCCGATGATGAACCGGGCTGAAGTACACGGGCAATAGATGGTAATCATTGCGCATCCACTCTATATACAGACCTACTTAGCTCTCTCTATAGGTAGTTCACGTACCAAGCCACCATCATCGGCAGCAATTGTTTCAGGATTCAATATAGCTACAACCTGCTATGTTCAAGTTTCAATATGAAAAGCTATGATATAGCCTTCTAGAAGTTGGATTCAGGAAAAGAACATCCAATTTTAGGAAACGACCATTCTTTGCTAGATCGATCTTTGTCATAGTATACTTTTATTGAATTTATATATATATATATATATATATCATATTTTTCAAGATGCGGCTCCTTGTTTCTAAGCGCTCGAACATTTGTTCGTTGGAGTTTAGAAGACCTTTAAAAGAGACTCGCTCCGTAATACAGATGAACCCTAGCTTACCGCATATACAGGACTTTTTTGCATTACGTCTATGTAGGAACTGATTCAACAATCAGCCGTGATCAACATATTTCGGCCCACAAAGGATTTAGTCACAATATTATTTGCTATTGCATATCCTGCCCAGTGTTTCTAATTTTACGTTCGCTACAAACCGTTGGACGTTCGTTTAGATTACTGGCTCCCAACGCAAAGTGAAGTGCGTCCACGCTCGGATTCTAAGTAAGGTCACTGTCTGTCCCTTAACTTTAGCCGGCAAAGACGTCACCCACTATGCATATTCTACTAAAAAAATACTTTCTACTAGCTATCGAATTGAGATACTACTATTCCTGCATAATGGGTCTGGTCGTGTAGTTATTAAGCCCGCTGCAACAACTTCATTCGGCCAAGTTTCCCAGACGTCCGAAAATGGCCATAATCACCTATATAACATGAGACACAATTTTAATGCATGTAAACCGTTTCTATTTCTACTCATGAAAGTCTCTGTTTTTGAATGGTAACTTGAGTATTACATGTTAAGCTTTACCTAAATCGTGCGTAAATCACCACTTTTAATGTCCGTGAGCAACAAACACCAGAACCAGAAGCAAAAATGACCGCAGGTTCATTAATTATAATAGTGCACAATCCATTTTTTTGTAGCACATTTATTACCCACATAATAGCACAGCAGGTAAAATTACGGGATGGTCAAGGCTCGGGTCTGGGCGTAGACATACTTCATTTTATGCTGGCAGACAGCCATGTGAAATAACGCCTGAGACTTATGTATTGGACGTCAAATACAGAAAGTATTACTAGTATTATACCTATCTGCTGCTGCTGCTGCTGCTATGGAACGAATGAATAGTCCTTAGGGGACCACACGCCGGAGCCAAGGGTAGAAGTTAGAACTACATGTTCTTAAATAAAAAGTATTTTCCAGTAAATATATATAAATCTTTTGTCTGCGGGAAAATGTTTCATTTTACGAAGAAATTTTAACACTTAAATGTTTTAGTTATTGTTCTAAACGCATTTCATATACGTCTTATTTTTGGTTCGGCTTAGTTTGAAAAAAAATAATACTATTCAGTTTGACTATAATCCAACTTAAATATTGTATTGTCTGACAACGTCTGTACATAATTGACCCTCTGATTATTAACGGATTTGTTTATATCCTTATCGAATGTAATCAATGAGGTCCATGCACATCATTGGTATACACTATTTCTCGACAGCGCAACCTGATACTTAAATTTGGTCTTGAATAGACCACTTTACCCTACTTTAATTAAGTTAGAGTTACAAATATGGAACATTTGGCCGAGGATATTTCATAGCTTTCCAACATATGTGATCACTATGTGGAAAGCGGCCTGAGGCTGAGTGGAACACTTTAGGTTGCTTACTTTTGCCCATTGAAATAATCCGTGTATAACAAATCATTTAGGACAACTGTGTGTGTATTCTTGCCGTTAAATTGGAGAGAGCTTTGAGGGTCAGATAGGGCACCGATGGAAACGGAGCGTCTGTCAGGCGATCCTGGGAGGCTTATGAATGCCGGTCGATGCTACAATGGCGAAGTGTTAGTTCGATGGAACAGCCGTCAAAGTTTAAAATCCACAGAAATAATTCGTCGGAAAAGAAGATTCAAGAGCCAAGTGAGGTAAGTAGAAAATAATGATGCGCATATAATGCTAGACAAAACCGATAACGACGCCATCCATTGACTTAATGTAGATTGTTCAATAGCATATATTGTAGAAACGTTGCATTCGTTTGAACGGCTTGTTATTTCAATTGATGTTTTCGACTTGTGGGATACCGACTTATCCCTTCCTCGATATGGTGAGCACGCTACGCACAAGAAAAAAGGAACTTATTAAAATTATGAACTATTTAATTAAGTTATTTACAATACGAACACCGTTTCAGAGAGCGACGCCTTTACAACGGGGTCGTGGCATCGGTGGCGCTTCTGTTAGCTTTGGTCGCCGTTTGTGTTCCCGTATATTTTGCCGTACTGAGGAGGTAAATAGCTCCTGATCGAGTAAGCTTGATAAATAATAATGCTTATGCAGTTTTGTAGGCGTAAATTTATTGCAGTAAAACTGAACTGAGATATCACAAGAGCTTTGAGGAACTGACGAGATAAAACTAAAAAGGCATCCTTTCAGGTGCCCAACGCAGCGGCGTCAATCATATACATCTATATAAATTGTAGCTTAGAACATCGCGCGGATATCTTTGTAAATAAAACGTTGCCATTTACATTTCGGTTTATTATTCGAATGGTAACTTTAGATATTTAAGTGAGATCGACTTCACCCCTCTGGGGGAGCGGAAACTCCGCGCACCGTGGCGCAAATCTTGTCCGAAGTCGTTCTTTGAGGACTTCCGACGTTTTGATTGTTTTCCGGAACGCCGAAATGGACAGGGCGTTAACAAACAACAATGCCTCGCACGAGGATGCTGCTACAGAGAGTCTACCAATAGTAGGGTAGGTGCTATCCAGCATTCAACATTATATTGGCAATACATATGAAACATGTACAACACGAACAGGCTCTATACACGCTGAATCGCAAAAACAAGAGTTATAGCCATAGCTATCATATATTCGAGTATCATCTCAAGTATTATACAGCAATCTTACGTTACAGGTCGTACCGATTACAATCCTCCCAGTAGCAATTCAGCATAAGTCTAGGCTTAAGCTTAAGTTTGCGGACAATCGGCTCATATACGCCTTATATTCGCTAGGTTCCTTCCTGTTTCCTTCCTCTAAACAAGGGCTACAGGCATTATTCGGGTCCTACGTCGGTTTGTACACGCGGCTACGAATTTATTCTCGACAAGGACGAATCGCCTATACGTTTCGGAGATGAGGCAGCTTTCGTAGCCCTTCGGATCGAACATCAAACACCATATAGACTTCGAATAAAGGTAAACTGAACGAACGACACCAAAGATGCTTACCCTAAAAAAGAATGCTGTTACGTGATCACCTCGCCGGCTTTGCTACGGCTTTTTTTTGTACGTATTTAATGTGTTTGTCTGTTTACAGATTTCTAATTCACAAGAAGAAAGCTATGAAGTTCCGCATCCTATTATACCGGTCCATCAACAGAACTATAATTCGACAATGGACGCTTACGCCGTTACATACAATAAAGTGTTTCCCTACAATGGCAAACAGGTAATTAAGCATTGCTTAAGACTGTGTTGGTGATGGCCCAGGCGGTAGCGAGGCTGATGTCATACGCAGGTTCTGCCTGAGCCGCATTCTGATAGCCCGATCGGTGGATACCAGAAAGCATCTCTACAGTATAAGGACAGAAATAAAAGGACACACGAATATTGCGTGGCTATGAGCAATAGCAAAGGCTATGAGTGATATAATAATAGTAACAGTGTTGGAAAAAACTTCACTTTTGGAGATTGCGAATCTGTTCGAACCAGGCAGAGAAAAGGACGTCACAAAGAATCAAATAAGTCCTGAGTCTCGCTCTTCGAGACAGTCGGCATAGAGAAATAATACACGCACAAAGTAAACCCGCCTTTGCTAATGGTGTGTTATCGTCAGTCCTCATTTGGTACACATTAGTTCAGTGCATCTACTTAGAGTCTAATTACCAGCTAAAGTAATTAATTGCAAGTTAGCTACATGCAATTACTACACATAAGTGATTAGTCCTGAAACATTTATTTGAACTTCTAGTACTGCTGTGCTTAAATAGCAGGGTCTGCATATTCTATTAGAATTCTGCACTATCATAACATAATGGATGAGCTTCTGCTGGTATCGGTTATCGTGTTTTTTAGTCTCTTGGTGATCATTCGTCGCGCTAAACACGTGCCTACGGAACACCTAATAACAGCTTGGACCTTCTAGGGGCTAACCTGCAGGTGCATCACGTATTTGACGTCCTAAGCAAAGGGCAACTGACAGAGCTGAATGTGAAATCTTTACAGGATATTCTAATTCGTCGTTCAGCTACTGGAACAACGCTGTTTGATACGACAGCTGGGGCATTAATATTTTCTAGTCAATTTATTGAGGTGAGTCTGTTTTTTCGATGATCACATGATAGAATGTTCGCAAGCTTTTAATATCATATATACACTTGTATTTTTAAAACTAATGTATGAATGAAGACCAAAATCTACCAGAACTATCCTATAGAACATAGGAAGGGCAGCATTTGCGTTTGAGAACGACTGCCGTTTTCTAAAACGACCCGCTTAAATTTGTTCTTTCCATTTTTTACCTTAAAATATAGAAAAATACCTGGCTATGTATTTGGTGAAAAGAAATCAAATCAAATCTATTTCACTAAGCCTTATTACTCAAAAAGTTTAAATCTGAAGTAATTTAGTATATTCCAGTCCTGTTTGACACTCGAATTATTAACTACATATATAATAGTCACTTGCTTATCCTAATAAATATTTAATAGTAATCAAAAACTACGACTCACCTCTCTTTCTAAACGCTTTTTCTTTAAATGCTTGATGTTTTTTAATAGATAACTACACTACTTCCCTCATATAACGTGTATGGTTTGGGCGAGCATATGAAGGCAACCCTGAAACTTGACCTCAATTATCGGACCTATCCGATCTTCAATGCCGAAACTTACCCCCCCAATGTAAGTTTGATTGGACTCCAATAAGTAAACGGCTGAATGTATTATGCTTAGTCAGGGACATCTTCCTTAACGTTCTTCTCAGTTCTTTGGCTGTTCGTGGGTTCAGATGTGATTATCACTTTGTAGCGTACAATTGATAGCACGTATATCCTACTAAGCATCATAGATGACAGCATGACTGTTATAGATAGGCTGCATGTGCGAAATTGTTTGAGCTCAGAATAGATATTCTATAGTTGTGACAAGATAATACTTGCCTATTTATCCGTTGCGTCTATTGTAGGGCATCCAGGGAAATCGGCATGGTTCCCATCCATTCTATCTCGTGATCGAAAATGATGGAAATGCCCATGGTGTCCTTTTACTTAACAGCAATCCCATGGGTCAGTAAGTTTCGCTGGACATTTGCTTGAAAAAGCCAGAAATATATAGAATAGAAATTGAATCCTAGAAAATACATGGGCGAAGGTAAAATCACAGTTCTGCAGGAACTTATTAATCGTTAAACTACCTTTAGCCTATTAGACAATAAATAAGAGCTCTATATTTAGATTTAAGACAACCTTGGCTAAGACAGAGAGCCGTCAATCGAGAGAACATCTGTCGGCGGAAGTTTAACGTAACACGCGGATCGCATCAAGTAATAACGCAGACCATAATGTGCGTATAAGTGCCGACATTGTTTATCTCATTATTTGAATAAGGGATATTTGTTTCCTCCCCAGAGATTCACGCTCAGCCGGCGCCCTCGCTAACATTTCGTGCAATCGGTGGAATATTAGACTTTTACATCTTTATGGGTCCTTCGCCTGAGGAAGTACTACAACAATATCACACAGCTATCGGTCGACCTTTTCTGCCATCGTATTGGGCACTCGGTTATCATGTTGGACGGTTTGTATCTTATATTGATCATAGGTGTTATTTTTAGATGTACCATAGATGTTCATGTAAACTGAGCAGGGGTTCGGGTTCTGCGGTGGAACGTGTTGCCCCGTAGAACTGCGAGCTTATTAGCTTGACGCTAAGAAATGCACTGTATATTAATAAGAAGAATACTTTTCATGCGTGTCTAGTGGTGAGGATGCTGATGATCTCGATCTTAATATTATTATATATATTAATACGACAACCTTTTCACGTTCAATTAATAGTTTCAAAGGACTTCTGCAAAACTTCCGCGACTGTCATAACCGGTAAGAGCTGCATTGATGATATACCTGTAAATTATGTAATTGCAGGTGGGGATTCAAGAGTAGCTACTACGTCCAAACGATGCAGGAGGGAATGCGAAAGCACCTGATCCCGCATGATGGAATTTCCATCGATCTTGATGTACGACAAATGCACCAGAGCTTCGATGTTGACACAAATGGTAACATCTATTGTTTTTCTATGTTGTATTACGAAACCCGTATTGGGAAAACTAGCTTACTGATTATATCTAAATAAAGTATACCGCAAACTATTCTCCGTGCTTTAATAACCGCAATAAGATGTCGATTGAACGCCTACAATTATCGAATGCCTAGACAAGACTCTTTTTGCCTAAATAACTCTTTCTAGAAGATAAGGCATCATTGTTTACTCACGAAGCGGTAACTTCGTTCTAAGATAGCAGATATATTGTACGGATTTTATCAAGCTTCATGTATCCAACCTACAGGCCTTTCCGACTAAATGTACCAATGATTTGCGCGCCCGTAACAAAAACAGCGACCCGCGAAATTCAATTTGACCGACATGTCAAATTTTGATTCGGTCTAAATACGAACACTTCCAACGGCAAATTCATGTTGTTCACATATTCTCGAGAACAGGGTGCTAAACCTTGCTTGACTTTTCAGGTAGCTATAGCGACCTGCCAACCATTTTAACGGATCTTCGTAAGAGGCACTATCGCGTTCTTGCGACAATGGAAGCCGCTATATCGACAAAACACTCCTCGTTTGGACGGGCCCTCAAGAAGCATCTACTGGTTCAGGACTCATTCAAGGGCGCTGTGAAAGGTCTTTCCTGGGCAGGAGAGGTGGCTTATCCTAACTTTTTAGATGAAGCAGCTTCAAAATGGCTCGCTGACGAACTTGAGGTTTATCGAGCAAAATTGCCCTTTGACGGAATATTTCTGGTAAGCATGAATATGGTTGCTGTTCTTCACAATGAGAAAAGTATTTCTGCGAAAACATCTAAACAATAGAAATTATGGTAAGAGTCTACGGATTTTTCAGTTTGTTAAAGGCAAATATATGGTAACAAAAATATAGAAAAAAAATTAATGCCGGCTTTTTTAATTACAGACAAACAATGAACCTGTAGACTTCACGAACAAATCATTTGTTGAAACTGAATGTATCCACGACAATCTCAACTTCCCACATTACAAACCTGGTTAGCTCAGCACGATAAAATTATCTCGGTTCGACAACCACTCTGACAAATAATCGTTTTTCCAAATGATAGATCCAGTTCTAATGGCGCGCCATATTCGAGCATCAAACGAATTAATCGGTTTATATATGTTAAATAAATTCACTATACAGACGTAATAATAACCAAAAATACTCATTTCCGCATATAACATGGATTCGACATTGCGATCAGCTCTACTTTTCTAGCTCAATATTATTGTGCTTAAATTCTAGCTACAAGAGGTACCTTTCTATTTGATGGGACTCTCTGTATGGATGCAAAACTCCATCGAAAAGGAGCTCTCTTTAAACATTACAACGTCCATAATCTGTACGGCCATTTCAGGTAATTGCTAATAGGTGTTTTTAATTCATTTAGAATAATACATATTAATATCAATGACATATTACCATTGAAGTATAACACACATAGCAACAATAACATGAAATAGATTGTACATATCGGTGCATTTGCTTGTACGGCTTCCCTTATCTTTAACAGCGCGATGGTTTATCACGACGCCTTGAAGACTGTCCTGCAAGGCATGCGGCCATTAGTCGTATCTCGTAGCACGGCTGTAGGTACGGGTCGCTTCGCAGGCCACTGGTTCGATGAAATGGACAGTGCTTCCTGGAGGGATATGAGGTGATGTCGCCGACCATAGTGAATAATAAGTTTTCAGCTTTTATTTTTTTCCATGAATGCAAGACGGCACCAATTGAATACAGCATAGTGTTAACAGATTGAGTCACACCGCCTCATTGGAACCAAAAACAAATGAACTGCGTGTGGTCACGGTTGGGCAAAACGTGCACATAAGAAATGTCGACAAGCTATTCCTTACTATTATGTACTTCGAAATAGTTCGTACGATCAGAACAAACCAACTTAATGACTATAGCCATTTTTAACATTTGTTTCAGGTGGACGTTGCGTGGTGCGCTGGACATGAACGTTTTTGGCATTCCCCTAGTAGGTGGGGACGTTTGTGGCCATTTTGAGGATGCTCCACAGGAACTTTGTTATCGCTGGACGCAGCTAGGCGCCATGTTGCCGCTAATGCGGAACCACAATGCCGATGAAGCCGCGGTTCGTTAGCGGTTCCGAACTATTTTCGACATAAAAAATAAATTTTTTACATGGCGGGACACGTCGTTATCTATTTCTAGTTTTTGTTTATCATCCACATTAACTATTACGCAAATGTTGCGCCCTGACAGTAAACTAAGCAAATAAAAAAAAAAAACTCAATTCACTGGCAATAGACGAATTTGTTACATTGCGAAGTTAATTACTGAACACAGAGCGATACGAACTTCTCCACTGATCAATCTGTGACCAATAAAGCTTAGTGACCAAGCTGTAATCTACTGATCGAAATGTGCAATGCGAGGAGGAAAATACGTTCGGAGTACGACAGTTACGTCTGTGGGCGTTCCTGGGTACGGTGGGTTATTATCTGGCAACGCTTACGTAATTTGCCTATGGTATGGATACATCTGATTATACTTAAGGCTCGTTTACGGGCTACGTAACTTCTAAGCGGCAGTGTCCCGAGTGTATCACACACCACTTTAGTGTAGCACAAAAATCATTGTTAATGATAAGTGGATCGAAACGCAACCTCTGGTCTATTTTCTCTGAAAGCCATGCCGCTATACTGTATACCTACAGCCTCAGGATCCACCAACCTTTGGAGCCGATTTTGCTAAGGCAGCTCGAGAGATCGTACGACTTCGCTATCAGCTATTGCCGTTCTTGTACACACTCTTCTACAAAAGTCACGCGTTCGGGGGAACTGTTATTCGTCCGCTGGCTTTCAAGTATGTGTTTTAATTTGTTTCTAAAGGGAATAAACTATTAAGTAAGTTCCTCACGAGAATTATAGCAAACTATTTCAGTTTGGAATTCTCCTGTTATTTTTTAAAATTCGCTTTCATTCATATTGCAAAGCGGTTGTCTGTGTATACATGCAAGTACCCAAAAAATACCGAATTGAAGACAAAGAATATTTTAATTACTTAATATACATCCTAGATGCTTCATAGTGTGCCAAGTACGTAAACATACGCAAATAGAACAATGGGGCTATCTCAATGCTTTTTGCAAGCCTGCTCTGATAGGTAGCGATGCAGCTTTTAACGAGATCTACGTCAATTTTAAGTTCAAATGAAATGCTAACGAGGGATTTCGAAAAATAATATATATACACTAACTAGTAGTAAACTTTGTGTGACCCTCTAAAGTGTAGACGTTAACATTACAGCTTTCCCGATGACCGTCTCTCGTTGAAGACCGAGGAGCAACTTATGTGGGGCGAAGCACTCATGTTCAGCCCTGCACTTTACCTGGTACGTGCGTAGATATTTATACCAATGAATACAACCGCTGTTGCAATATATCGATAGCGGTAACTTGTCAGCTAACTTCAATAGTAGACCCAGTTCATGGAACTATTAAACTAAGGGTGGTCACAAATTGCTTGTTGACTGTAGAGAAAACGTGCGATAATGGAGGATGTTCTCTAATCAAACCCTTAGCTACTGGGCTTTTTGGTAATTAACGATGTGCACTTTATAAATAAAAACTTGAAATTCCAGCGGTTCTATTCCATTTATTAACTAATTGTATTCTGTTTACAAGCTACTTGATCCACAAGTATACATTTTTTTTTTGTTTTTGGAAAAACAATAGAGAAAATCTACCGTACACTCTATTTCTAGGTCTATGAAAGGTGCCACTTCAACTTTTCAATTTTTAGGTGAACTCAGCTTCTTATATGCCCAAAGCACTCAATGTAACTGTTGCCAATTTCATATCCAAGAAATTGTCCGATCACTGTTTCTCATCATGGTGTGCCTGTTTTTTTAGTACCAGGTATCGAAAGAGGTGTATTTCCCACCGGGACGGTGGTACGATTTTTTCAGTGGGGAGCGTATGCTTGCCAGCGGTTCCGCTCTCCAAATTCCCGTTCCACTATATTCAGTGGAGCGTCCGCTTGTGGCCCACGTTAGAGGAGGACACGTAATCGCTACCCAGAGCCCCGGGCTTAATACTCCGCTTAGGTAAACTCAACATGCCAGATTAATTGCGCCACGGAGATATAGTAGTTTTTTAAAACTCCCGAAATGAATAACTTTTTTTTTCTTTACCAGAAGTATACTCTAGTGAAAGGACCCCAAGATCGAGTAGCGTATGCTCCTTAATATATCACAATGCATCGTTTTAACCCCATCCCATTTCAGTCGCAAAAACCCTCTTTTGCTTGTCGTAGCGTTGAACGAAACCTATGGGTCAGAAGGACAACTATATTGGGATGACGGTGAAACTTACGGTAAGCTTATCGCCATTTAATTAGTGTTAATATTCGACGTTAGATAGGCGTCTGTCAGCTGTGAATGCTTTTCAATTGATGTAAGTCTAAGAATAGCATTTTATGATAAGTGCTAAAGCATCCGTTCGACAGACTAGATACGCAAGAGAACACGTACGAAATGCACGCCATACATGTGGCGATTTAAGAGAACAAATCGTTTTAGCACATTATGGCATAGCGCTCAGGGCTGCAGGTCATGCGGTTCATTTATACAAGTGGTATCTATTTAGCTAGAATCAGCAACAACCACTTCAGGATAATATAGCCCTAAAAGCAAGGTTTACGTGATGATAACTTTTCAGATTCGTACGAAAAAGGAGACTACATAGTAATGAGGATCGTCGCCAATAAGGTGCGTATAGTTCGACCTGTCCTCGAGCCTGTTCGTGCGCCTATCATCTACGAAAATTCCCCATTTGTAATACATACTTCAAATGGTTCTTTTTCACTTTTCTATTCATTTCAGTCGTCGTTGTCTCTAATCGTGGTCTCTGGAAAATGCCACTTGTTTGCCCCATTCTACAACCTCATCATCGAGCGAATCCGTCTATTTGGAATGTGGAAAAAGCCCTCTAAGGTTTTGATTGATGGAAAGTGCGTACGCACGAGGATTTATTTACCTCACGCACAATTGCATTTTGAAGTGCTAGCAGCGGCGTTGCCCCATGTGCGCCAGGAGCACACATGTGCATATATATATATGTATATATATATTAATTTTTAACTCTCAGCTGTTGATAGCTTTCGAAGACGGTAAACGTTTTGAATGTCTCTTTTCTTTTCCTCGAAAGGAGGTAAAACTACAGGAGGAATATAAAACTTCTTAGTTTTTAAGAAAGATGAAAATCTGTTAGTTATAAAAGGTTTTGATAATATATTGAAGAATGAAATAGGTCGGCCTCCTTGGCTCATTCTGCACAAATAATTGAACGCAATAACTGATGTTTCCGCTGCGTATCTCAAACCTCAGGTACGCGCTGTTCCCGTCACAAATTCACTGGATGTACCGACAGAATATAATGGAACTCAGCCGCTTGCTCGTGCCGCTTTCTCGAAATAGCTCCATCGTTTGGAAATTCGACGAATAGAACCAATTAGAAAAGTAATTGAGAACAAATAAAAGTTCTTAGCTTCGGCCCTGAACAAAGTCGCCTTGTAATCTATTTAACAAAGCGCTTGGTGCCGAACGGATTTTCTAATTAGAAATATATTTTACAGATAATAAATACAATGTACCTGTTAAATAGGAGCAGCTCTATCCTAATTAGCAATACAGTGTTAATTAATTTCATTCAGAGCCTAACAAGTAGCCCTGAGCTTTTTCTATGTGGATGATCTAGACTGATGTCAGGGTAAATTATTTTACTTATGCCTTCTATTTATTATTTTCGTCAGTCAAGCATCGAAGAACGTTGACTGCAATCTTGAAGTAGCTTTCTAAAATATCCGCGAAAAATATCTCGATATGGGACCGTCATTTCGAACTCTATTTAATACTGGCAGAAACTCCTAGAGACTACTAGTGTTTTACTTCGGAAGTATCTCACTTTTGTCATTTGTCAAATTTGGCTCATTAGATGTCCATAGGTAAGATTCGAACTTAGGCATAAACACACGTCGTTGCGTGCTGGGCCAACCGTCTAACAGAATGCCCAAGAACGATACTGGGCGTAAAACACCTCGAGATATAGAGAGTCCACTAGGGAATTAATATCTTCATACATAACTTACTACATAGCATGCACATTTTACTTGGAACCTTTATAACAATAACAGTCGAAACGCAGACACATATATATATTCACACAAATTATGTAAGTGCATGTATTACTATTGTTATTACAACTATGTATTGATTGGTCCCTCGATATGGATTATTCGTTATACAAAATCGTTTAAACATGTGTTTGTCGTTTGCCGTCATCTATTACTGAGCAGCTTTTATGATGCATGTTGTTTGTAAAAAAAAAAGCATATTCTACTTATCAATCTGATTGGCACACATTCTCAAAATAGCATCTGCCTGGTTCCCTATCACTGACTGTGGCTTTTTAAATGCCAGAGTAATAACTAATTTACAAACAAGCACAAAATAACACAGTCGAGTCGGTAGTTGTTCGCCAGTGTGCTAGTATCACACCAAACAGCTACTTAAGCCATAAAAACAGAAATCCGCCTTTTTCTCAGTTAGCTTCAATTTTTTTTTCTTAAACTAGGGTCTATCACAGATGTTGTTTATGAACTCAATAGAATCTACGTGTCGGTGAAGCCATATCCCAGATTCATCTATCGATTTTTCGGCGATCTCACGAAATTGAGTTGTCTATAACTTGTTATCAATTGATGCTAATTCGGTTTTAAGATGGCCCGCTGACGTAGAGATCTGGAGTGAATTGTTTGTTTCCGGCAGAGTACACAGCAACATTATAATTATGTGCTTCGTCTATAGTAGAGGCTGCGGGGCCGAAAACCGCATCCTAGGGGTGACGGCACCATGTTGTTAGGTCCAAACGATCGCTCTATGTCCAAATTACAGAGACCGTCAAGCCAAGTTTGCAATTCGAGTCAGTTCAAGATTGTTTCTGCACGACAAAAAAACGCTTATTTCATATTTACGAAGGATTAGCGAAACGCTTGCGTGTTACGCAGTATAAGGCAGCAATAGGAGTTTCTGCATGTTAACGCCCGCCCTAACTGGTTGCGTATAGAGATTTATAGCTTTGATGCATGGCTATTTTGATAAATTGAACATACTGAACTAGTTGACATGCAATTATATGCTGAAGTAGACTGTTGTGTTCCGCAAACCGTAAGATTCAGCAGCTTTTAGTCTTACGTAGATTATGACGTCTGTTTACGTTGTAGACATAAACGCATTATCATCATGGTTGCAGTACTAATCGATAGTACAATATTCACTAAAGTAATGACAAGCTCAGTTGTAAATGAACAAATTCTCAAATGAGCTCATCTACACCCATCCTGAAGTTTCCATAAAGCGTAAATATAAACATTCATAATATCTGGTTAAGGATATTTTCTCTAAGTATCGTCCTGCCAATGCAAGCGGAAGTAGGACAAAAGATCAAATGTTTGCCGGAGGGAATTCCGACATGGATCATGGTCAACATACGCATAAACATTGATGGATGAATCACCTAAAATATTACCATCTGCATTAGTACATGTGGTTATATAAAGGCACCATGATGAGAACGGGCGGGAAAAAATTGCCTCCCACTGCAGCTGGAGTTAACAGTAACAGAGCGACTTCTTATTAATCCAGTATACAAGCATTTAGAGTACATTGGTAAATTGCTGAATGCTCTGGTTTACAATGCTCGCGCCTTTTGTTGTAAGTTTTTGTGTAGGACAGCATTAGGACCTATATTTTAAGGACAGTTTCAAATCATATACACTGCTATGACTTGATTAAAAATAAGACCAACATATTGACGATTATGACGAACCCGTTTTCTCGATTTTTTTTTTCCTAAAAGTATTCTCATCTTCAAATTTTAGATCAAACAGTTTGAATTACGAATAATATTCGGATTTGCCAGATTAATCAATGGGCCCATGGTATTCCGGGTTTCAAACACCCAGAAGGCTTAACGCTTGCATGATTTTGGATCTTTTGCTCAATACAAAAAGTGGTAATCCTTGGACAGTATCGGGTAAATTTAGAAGAAGTTCACAATACACCGAACCTATCTAGTGCAATAGATGTGCTAGTCACCGAATTCCCCTAACAGATGGAAGAGCTCCACTTCTACCGGCCTTCACAGTTGGCAACGCATTGTTTCACGCAGCCAATTTATGAACAAATAATAGTAAGCGCTCTTCGTCCTTCGCCTTCCATAAGTCGAGACGGACCAGATATAACCCGAGACAGACTGATCTGGCCGACATCGAGATTCTAGTACACAGACATATGATATTTGTTGAGCTGATTAGAGGTTTAATAAATAGGCCATATCGACGAAGACTCTTGCTTCAGCCACGATTGTTATCTTTGTTCAACTCCACCGCTCAGTTTGAATGGACATCAGGCAGAAGGTCAATACGGGTACGGAAATCGTCCCTTTTCTAAATCCGTCGTTTTCTAGCCGCTAAGTGCGCGTTTTCTGGTCGATATCTGTACACTGCGGTCGAGTGTTTTTTTGTCTGACTGAGTCATTAGGTAGATGCCGAGAACTGCGCAACACTGCCGATACGTTAGAGCGGCGTCAGTACTACTCAATGCGAGAGAGAAGACAAAGACAGAGAGGACCAATGTGGCTGGGCTAAATTTAAAGGACTCATTGGATCTAAGGAAGACAATCGTGAAGACATTGGAAAGGGAAACAATCATTAAATCACCATCCCGTCACCGATAAAGAAAGGTATAAACTTATAATCAACGGAATCAGGTTATAAGTAAAAATTGACGTAGGCAGTGTAGAATATAATGTTCATGAGCATAAATCAACTTAACCCGTCGATGACACGGCAAGCTGTGACACAGCAGCGTCTTATATACGTAAGCATCTCATGAAGCTCGACTGTGGCACCCACAACTTCTCGTTCAGGGGCGGCTCTATCGGGCACAAATTTATATATATATATATATATATAGTATAGTAATCGCGAGTTAGGTTGACATGCGACTGAAAGTCTGAACTAGAATAGACGTCCCTTTAAAAAAAAAAACCCATAACAACATTCCTTTGTTAAAGTAGCATTCCAAGATTTTCGTCGACGAGTCTATGAAAGGCCTGGTCCGTATACATACGTGACAACATTGAAACACATTATTGTGCATCTGTAGTTTATTACAAAAAGACGTAGAAACCAAGTGAGCCGCTGGGCATTATTCATATTCATAAGCTTTCATAACAGCCCAGAAGTGGAGAGAGGTCGATGTGAGGTGTTTTGTCAACATAGCAATTTAAATACAGGTAAAAAAAAAAAAAAAAAAAACTCTAGACAAATAGAACAATTTTTTTAATGAAATACTTCGGGCTTCATTATAGCTTCTGTATTATTTTTTATAAAAATATATTTACGATGCGCGAGCAGTTCTTGCTAATGATTCACACTTCGTATTTCCACAAAGTATCATTTACAGAGGCGGATCACTTAGAGAGGCCATTAGTCATTATATGACTTAATTCGCATAGATGGCGCATATATGACTAACAGCAACTATATGCATCGTTCCTACATCGAAAACGAGCATCTCCCGTTTCCTAGGGATGGTCGCATAAACATGGCGACTTACAGTTATGCGTGCCATATCAGCGTGAGACTATTTCGCACAGGCCGCATATGTGATACGTAGTGTTTAGCCAGCTGGTGGTCTTTCATTGTGGCCAAACTACTCAAGCTAAATTAGCTGTTCAACACAGTGGGTGTCAACGTCAGAACACGAAATACTTGAAGGGGGAAGTAGGCAACCCGTCACGTTAGTACGAGTCAAATGATTGTGAATGAAATAAAAAAAATAGGGGCTAATAGTGCTGCGCCGAAAATGTCCAAAGCCGCGTGAAAAAAAAGATGTCTATATCATGCGTTTTTATCCGAATGCTCATCTATAAGAACCCGCGTTACGTGGTCCACCGTGAACAGAAGAAACGCCGACGTAAAGAGATAGTAGGCCATTTTGTGATACTAAAACGTAGTAAATATATGTATCTACACGAGAATCGTAGTCGAGGAAAATTAGTGGTTTACACAAAGGTCATGCCGTCCAGATGACTCCTAAAGTCTCTCATATAAAAAAATTACTAGTAGCGCAGATCTCGGTACAAGTATACTTTCAAATGTAACTCTATTAGATTGAGTTAGTAATTGAATTCCATAGAAGCCGCCACTGAACAGCGAGCACTTCGTGTATTTCTTTACAGACGTGCTAATAGATTGAAGAGCCGTCGCCGTCCCTACACCGCAGACAACACTTCAATGCCTCAGACGCTACTAAATATTAGAATATTTTAAATGAATATCTTAAACTTGTATTCTAGCGTTTTCTGGTATTCTAAAAATATTTCCTATTATACCAATCATTTCGAGGTTGGCTCTGCAGTTATTCATTGATAGATGCCCATTGACCAACACTTAGAAACATCTCATTATTCTCCTATACGTTCGGCTGTTTTAACCAGAACTGCCGTCTATATATGTGGATATACACTTTGCAACCTTTAGACCGAATTCTTTCATTCTTCTAGACAAATGATCCCCTTTGTAATATCTAGACAATTTTTATTAACATCAGCGTTACTCTTCATATCCGAATAGAAAAAAATATCACACTGTACAAACGCTGTCGGGCTCAATGGCCGTAAATACATCGTAATACTAATGGCTGCGTACGGCAGTTTTTCAGCCGCGATTCTACCTTTGTCGGGGTATTAGATAATAACAACATAACTAGATAAAATAAATGTCTCAAGTTGATGAGGGGGAGAGTCGAAGGTAGGCTTACAAGTGGTCGGAATAAATGGACCTATAGTTATTCATACGAAAAAAAATATATGCCGGCATAAGCGAGCACGTTATATCAGATAATATCTTTAGCGACAAATGATCTGTAATTAGAGAAAGGTTCCTTTGTTTGTTTTGTTTCTTTTTTATTTGTTCGTTCATGTATCTAAGATGCAGGTAATAACTCGAAGCTGAAGACGAAAAGCTTATTTTTTACTCTTTTTGCCATATTTTTTTACTCCCAGTACTTGCGAATCTAGCCGCTCCGAACTGCGCCAATTGAACGAACTTTAATAGCAGGTCAAGCTTAGGAAGCATAGGTTAGGTCAACGGATTTGCCAATCACTTCTAAGATGTATGCTTATACTTAAAGGCTGTACTATGTTTATAGTTGTAATGTTGGTTCGCCTGTATCTACAGTTCATCTGGGCCAGTAAACACGAAACTAACCCGCATTTACTGATGTGCCATTTTCGCTAGGAGGTTGTCTTTTTCGCTAGGAGGTTGTCTTATCTATTATCACATAACAATTAGACTCTGAAAACAGATATAAGCTACATAAGGCTGCTTAGTATTAAAACTCTCTTATGGCTAACATGGATTTATTTCCATAATGCTCCGCATTGCATCCTTATAGTGCAATACGCCACGTTCACAATACCATTTTTTGCTTAAAGGACTACAGAAACGTAAGGAATAAACGCAAAATATTGTCCGGAGCTGTCAGTACGACATAACTGGATTTTGCAGAAGAAACGAAATTTAGCATAGATTATCTTCCAGTCCGAATGTATTCGGACTGGAAATCGCGTATTCACCACTGAATTATGCATTTATAATGTGATTTTAAGGCTGATGGAAAGATCTACGATTTAATAATGGCCGATTTATGATTCATACAGTTTGGACAAGTGTTCAATCTGCATCTGGCTTTATCTAATTAACGAGTAACTGACTGCAAATTGTTACCTCGTCCATTAATATAATGGATTGCAGAAGAGGACGCCTAATCAAATACGCGTTTCCAATAAGTGCACCCTAAACATTCTCAAGACGACAGCTCCACGAAAACTATACGCTGTAGTTATTTTTAAGTGGTGAAATCTCTTCGCAGTGAAGCTTTCTCCATTGCTGCAGTGTCGGTCGAGATATTAATTAATAACTGCATGAGAAATACGCGGCACGCCACAGCAGAACTTCGTTTATCCGTCGAATTTTCTGCATAAGTGGTGCTAGCGTGTTATTGACGCAGCTCCCTCAAGAATCGTACTCTTGCTACCGACTGCCGCGTCTGTCCAGCTTAACTAGTTCTGCGTCTCCGTAGGGCTTTCGTAGTAACGGAAAGCCTGCAAGGAAACGTAGTTGAAGGGGTACTGAGCGAGCGTTGCATGTCCGACTATACCGCTCCGTCTGCACGTGGGCACCTACACCGAACGTTGTAAGTGATAAACAACGCAGATCGGCCTCGTACTGTTTTCATGGAATAATTAGACTGTTTCTTGGCATATCTAATGGTATATATAGAAATACAGAAAGTGCCAGGTTCAATCGGTAGCCGTATAGTTGAACGGAATAGCAACAACGACCCACGAAATGGCCGTACTATCCATTTTAATCTGTTAGCATCGGCGAAGAGCGTCGCGCGCGCATGTAAAGCACTTGAACAACACAAAGAGCGTTTCAGCTATTGGTAAAGTTGTTGGCACCGTTGCAACCGTAAGTAGTGTTATGCCCACACAGCGAAGTTGGTCGACCGCTTCATAGTTCAGGTGGCAAACGATGAGGTGCGACAATAACAGCAGGTGTCGACTAGCCACAATAAGAAATACGTTGCCCTGTGGAAGATCATCACGCTGAAACGTATCCACTTGGATCCTCCTTGAGACGCATGGATAACGATTATCGTTGGATGAACTGGATCCAGTAGGGTATCATTTGTTATAGCAATTAGATGTCGATTGAACATAGGACTATGCTTTTAAATGTTACTCCACTGGTAAAAGATACAGAAAATATTAAGTTTGTGATTACTATTAAAAATAAGTGTTATACCTTGTTATTTTACAACAGAAAAGCTGAAACCGTTTTCATTTAACGTCCCATCTGCCATACGATGGCAACAAACTCGGCTGTTTTCATGAGGTGGGAAGTTTTCATTAGTCTATTGCCTTCATACGATCTATATTATGCAAATGCCTGGCGCACGATAATCATATACGATTCTGTAGGATAGGAAAGCTAAAATTACTTCTGTAAATTGTTTTTTTGGTTTCCCTGCTGAAAAGTAATAATTTCTTTTATAGACTGGCGCGTATGCCATTAGTACAATGGAATATAGGATTAGTAAAGAAAATGGAGTTTTATTCTAATGGACATTATGGCATGATGCCATATTGACACTTCCTTTTATTGCACGCACTAATTAACGACGATAGTGGACGCCAAACTTAGAAAAACGTGTTAATCGTTGCAGCGGGCTCCTATTACTTTGTTTGCGTTTGTTGCGTCCCTAAAACAAATATAACATGGTAACGATGTTTGGTGAGCAATCAAGAAGTGTTTCCGTCTATCTGCCTATTGTAGCACATACTAGTGCGTACCATTACCTGTATGCGTATATGTAAGCTAACAATAACGTGATCGATAGAAAGCTCCTATAAACTAGATCATGATTTTCTTACGCGCCGCTCACATTCAAATGAAGAAATCAAGACAAAGTTCGTATCAAGTTATCTAGTCAACGTCTGTTAATATGTGCACAGCTCAGATTACAGTTTTTTTTCCTCATTACAAAACCTGGTTATCTTCGCTTCGCAATCGGTAGCAGCTCTTCTAAACCATTCGTAGAGATTTTTAGCTAACAACGATCGTGCAGTCACACTCAGATACAGTTATACCAACGCTGTGCATAGCGTCTGGAGAGTTCTGTGCGTTTCTGTGAACTTTTTGTGTAGTCGTGCATGCGATGAGAAAATCAATATAATTTAGCAAAAGTAGAGGTAATTTTTTTCGCGTCAAAACGGGCTGCAATGAAAGCAATAGGAAACTTAGATAAAAATATTTAATACATAAAAATCGACATCAGGCGAAACGCTTGAAAAATTTAGCTTTTGATACTAAGGTAGCACCATTCTACTACTACTACTACGAAAAACAGCCCCTTTCAACTCAGCACGATGCTATTGAAATATATTATAACTAGTAGTAGTAGTAGTATAATAACTAGTTTCAAATTTAGCACTATGATTGGCCTGCTTTACGAAAGTGATTTCTGAACGCGGCACTTGTTCGTTCACTTTGATGACTATACATCGCGTGACATGAATGATTCTGGCTTTCAGCGCAAACAGCATCAGTTTGATAGAAAGTTCTTCAAACAGATAGTTAGTTGAGCATTTACATATCAAACATCCGAAACGGAAATTATTTCAACAGTGACACAAGGCCAGAACTTCGCGGAGGTGCACTAAGTCTACAGTCCTACGAGGACCAGGATGTTGTACTGTGTATGAATATATTCATAAAGGGACTCAAGGCTCAAAGGCTGCAAACAATATTTTAAAAATTGCAACTTCAAGAAACTGTGATGTGACGAGCAGGATTAACTGACGGCTAGTTTAACAATCAATTCTAACTTAAGAAAGAAATCATCGAAGTTACTTTGTTCTTAGAATAATGAGTGCGTTTATCATAGAAGGCGGAGAAGCGACTACGACGTTTTGTCTATGCAGATATTTTACCTAGTGCGATTCGATTTTTAGAAACTTTCAGGAAACGCAACATTTGCTCCTCATGTACAAAGCTTAGTCTGCGTAAGGTAACTAATGGCTATTTCAGTCTCGTGAGATGAACCAAGAAACAGTCCCGAATGTCAAAGATCGAAGTCAGTAAACACAAAAGAGGTCGAAGATTGCCTCGTGTGCACGTGCCAGTTGACTATTGTGTTGGAAAAGCCGTGGTTACTAGCCGCTTACTACGTACGAAGCAGGGCAGGCTAATTGAAGAAAGTTTTCTATCACAATCACGGCCCCCGTCGCGTGCGAATCCGACGCCAATGTCAAAAACGTGGGCAGAAGCGCGTGGTCATTTTGATGACATCGAAAATTTGTCAGAAGATAACAATGCCGGCGGCCCGGGCCGACGAAGTCAACGCGATCAAGAATATAACTTCGACGTCCTAGAGGCCACTGGTAGAGCAGCTCGACACAACAAGCACAACTCAAAACGGGCCAAATTTGTCAAAGAGGTTTGTATGAAATCGTACGCTTGCTAGTCAGAGCTGTCTTCCCAAGAATAGCTGTAAAATGAACGATATATCCGCTCACAAATACAAACTAAATGTATTTCAATGTGTTTGGACAAAATATGTAATAATTATTGTTAAATGGCATGTTATATACTGATCATGCTTTCAGAGGATCTACAATGATATACAATTAATGTCTAGAAGTGAAAAGGACGAACTGATGGCGCAACTTGCGAGAGACGAACGGAAACGAATATTTGGCTGGCCTTTACGAGGCATCACAGCAGAATTACCAACGAGAAGAGCCCGACGCGTGTCTACTATAAACTCTAATCGGAACACGCTGCAGTCGGCGTTTGGCTGCTCAAATCAGAGTAGAAATAGAACTGATACAATTACTTTGAACATGTCACGCATTTGGCCAATCAAGAGCACTAACCTCACTACGAAATGTGTCAGAGGTCACTGTGCTAAAGATGACGACACGGAGGACGAGGACAACAGTAAACGTGGTAAGCAAATGAGTTCCATAGAACGGGCTCGTATATATATGACATTATGATTTTAGAGAAATTGTGCAAATATCGTTTTTCATGAGCTTATTTACCCTGAAACGCTTAAATGGCCTGAACATAGGTAACAATGACGGTAAGTCCATTACTGGGCTTATTCGAAAAGCGGAACAATACCAAGCACAGAAGCATTTCAGTGGGCATATCAGTCTCGATAAGCGACCACAAGTCGTGTGTAAGTGTTCCCTTTTTTTATGTTTTTGCTAAATGTATTTACAGAGATTGTTTCATGCTTTCCCCTATGATTTCGTATCGTAATAAGAAATAAAAACATAGGCATATCATTGCATTAGGTCGAACTGGTTCGCAATTAAAAACATTGCCTGTGGAAAGGTTAGGACTACAAGCTTGCATCGACTCCAGTTAAGCAAGAAAGTCACTGTACGATCAAGATGTAAATATAAAAGGACAGCGTTGAGTCAGCCTGAATATATTGATCGTTCTAGGTAAAGCTTAACAGTAGAACCTAGATCAATGTACAGCCCGCGGACGTGGTTGATTGTATACTTTTATACACAGAAAACGATTCCATAAATCGATCCCACCACGGTTTTACCATTTTACACTATTTTTTACATTTTCGACCATAGCTCGCGGCACAAGCATGCCTGAACTTCCATCTCATGTTGAATCGACGCTAAAAAGATCGTCAGGAACAACATCAGGGTCAACAGGGAATCTATTACACAACGTGCCGGTTGTCAAAATAGCGCTCAATATTACCGGGGGACAAGTTCTTCACGAGGAAACTTCCACGGCTGGAATGAAAGAAGTCGTCTTTCAGTGCCTCCAGAAAGCTGAGGACCAAATAAACGCGGTGAAATTTACCGACAATAATCAGCTACTCGATAGGTTGACCAATGAGGAAAACACTCTCATATCGAAGGCTCATGGAAAACGTGCTTCATTATACTATGCATACCCTGAAAATAATCGAAAATCAAAAGATCCTACACGTTCGTCGAAGACTCAGTTGGCACCCTGTACACAAGTCGCTATAACCAGACGAGGTCTGAATGATGAAGAAAGCGACTCCAGAAGCATTGATGTTGGCAACAAAGGATACACCCCTAAACAGCGCTTAGCGACAACAAACAGTAAGTTCGGAACACACGAACTAACGACAGGCTTGAAACATTTTGTGAATTTTTATTTTTTTCAAATCTTTACACTGCTCATATGTACACATACCTTACTTTGCTATATATATATATACGATTTAGTTCTTAACACTATCACTTTTAACATAGGCATAGCTGGTTAAATCTATATTCGTGTTTGAAATTTAACTTTTCCTGTGATAGAGCTTGAACACGATCCCGCCAAGTTAACAAAATCATCGATAAGTAAGGAAACGAGCTGTTCCACAATCGCTCCTTTTCGAGAATTGCGCCGCTTCCAAAGCCAACATGACAATTCTGACTTGGCTGGCCCTCAGAAAAAAAGGCCCAAGGTGTCTAGCAAGACTTCCTGTACAGAAGTACGGGTGTTTGAGCCACGCTGCCGCAATTCTAAAGACGAATTTGGTAACGATAGATTAGGAATAAAGAAGATAGCTTCTGGGGAAGAAATGATGGATGCACACGAAAAACATAATGAAGCATATAGAAATATTATTTCCGTTCCCTCTCCTCCGGAGGTAAGTTGAGGCCTTTGAAAGCTCTGGGAAAGAATACGAAAAAAAGGATATATAAGAGATTTATATTGTAGAGGTTGAATTGAATCTGTACGTAGATTAAATCGTCATACATCCGTAATTTAGGTTTTAGACTGGCTTACATAAACTAGTCTATACGAAGAATTAAATTTGAGAATTTATGGTGGTTTAGGTTTGAAGCCAGATACTTGGTTCTGCGATGGAAGCCAGCTTAGAGGCTGTAGCATAGGTTAAACTCTAAATTTTAAAGTTATTAAACTAGCTAATATGAATTAATTGTGTGTTAAGTAGTCTTTTGTTTTTGTCGGTGCTTTGAAATCAGACCTATATCAGCCGTTATGTTCATCAGCAGACGACACGGTTTGCATTATCGTACGTAATATCGTATACATTTATGTAACGGCCTTAGTTTGACCCTTGTCCGGCTTATACGTGCTATGACTCAAATATGCGTAGTTTAATTTTGCTAGCCTACTTACGAATGTTTTCCATAACGACATAGCGTAGTTAACAACTCATGACTTGAAGGAAGTTCCAGGAACATGAAGCCAACTTTGATATTCTTACAAGGTAAATAAACTAGCTTTTTATGTATATGTTGAAAATTAATTTTTAGGGTCCCACCTGGCGTCCTTATGAACTAACTGATTGGCTTATCCGAGAAGGCAGCCCCAATAACAACACCGAACCATATTACAAACGAAAGTCATCCACGAGTCTGCAGATCATTTTGAGGGAATTATTTTTCAGGTTCTCGTTGGAATATGTCGAATGTATTAACGTCCATAAAAATACTATCTCAACCAGATATGCGCTTATGAACTACAATGAGCCATCATTACTACGATAAAATATAAAGTCATAGGTCATATATATATATATATATCTCTTGGTATCGATGAGTCAATATGTTTATAATTATATTTCTGTCGTACAATTTTGGATGCATATCAGTCATGTCAGCTGACACAGAAACAATTTGTGCTTGTAGAGACTGTGTGATAAGTGTTGCTCAGATGCCATACGACGGCCACGTACCAGCTCATCAACGAACGTCAGGTCCTGCAGTGTGCGAACTGAGCTCTAGTTCTTCTTCATTGACTTCCACCAAAAGAGGTATTGGATATTTACTTATCGACCAAAGTCCTTCTTTTGCTTAAACATAAAGAAAAGCTATCTAATTGCAAAGCAATGGAGAAAATTGTTAAACTCGTACATACGTACTCCGGCCTAGTAGCTAAGTTCCTACAAAGGAGCCACGTTGAAAGATAGCTTTTCGACTACAGTTTCGTTAAATGATCTCATGGATACAATTTGTTAGATTATCAAACGTGGCAATTATACTGTTTTAATATTTTACTTCAATCTGCCACTTGGCACCACAGCGCACAGACAAGGTTACACCTAGGCCTAGGGACGCCTCCGAACTCGCCAAACGATCACGAGGGGTTATCCGTTACTTGGTGACTCTATTAACGATGATACCTTCCGTATCGATTTTGGAAAAGTTCAAGGTCAAGCGCTACAGAAATCCAATCATGACGGAACACAAGCAGATGTTTCTAGCTCATCATCACGTTATTCTGGAGACCGGTCTTTGCATATCCCCCTCATTGACACAAAGGGACGCTACCCGACAAACATACAATTCATTGAGATTCAGGTACTCTTTTTCTACTAAAATTCTCCGTATAGGTAATCACCCCATGATTGTAGTGACGATCGCATTACATAGGTAGATGGGTTCAGTCGTGCTGTACATATAGATGCTGGTTCAGTACTTTAAATTATCGATCATTCAAACTTTTTTTCAGGTCTGGAAAAATTTCCTGGATAAGCTATGGAATTTCTGCTTGTGCGCCCTGCAAAATTAGGCTTAATTAAATAGACACTACCAGATAGGCAGTTCAAATCTATCTTTACCCATTAAGCATTTTAGGAAGACAAATGGCACTTGCGTCTTTGGCGACGCTCAAAATATATATAAGAGAATCACCGTTTGTATTGGTTCATTTAAGGTTAAAACACGAAAATATAATTCGCCCCGAAAAGCCCATACCACTGCAACTGAAACTGGTCCTCCTCTTCAGAGAAGAATTTCTTTCGCTGAAAATGATAACGCGGTTTATTCTCCTCCCAGAATCAAGCGAGTAACCCAAATAACTCGGAATGATATACGGTAAACTCTCTTTGACCTGTACTATTTGTAACAAAAAATAACTAACTTCCGATATGGGACAGATGTGTTTATTTACAATTCATATGATTTCATATCTAATAAATAGGTAAGTTGCCATTGAACCACGAAGGACGAAGGGAAGCTTTATATCAACCACTGCTCTGAGTACAGTCCATGTAACTCTCATGTGTTTCATGTTGTATTAGTATTATTTTTCCCATATCCTTGTGCAAGTTATATTTATTTATATCTTCAATATGGTTCTGCAGGTAAAGAGGGCTGTGACGTCCACAGCAGTTTCTGATTTTTTATAATTTTCTTTCAAACTATCTTTTTTTTGTGAAAATAAAATCGCCGGAATCAGCTTTTCTTCGGTGTAGCATCAGGGGCCTGCCCTACCGGAAGGGGCAATCGAGGAGGGTTTTGCTGGAGTTACATGGGGTTTCTCCTACAGATCTTTGACATACCTTACCCTGGATATACTTTCTTGTGTGTGCAACGTTATATACTTCATATGATTTTTGCCTGCGACATTTCCCTCCTGTTAACATGGTTCAAATGCAACACTGAACATATACATACTTCGCTCCATGCAGCCAACCGTATGAGGCAATAGATAACGGAAGTAACACCCGACGTAATATACAAGATCGTTTACCTCACTCTCTTGTCGAGCACCACCACAAACGATTTTTTAGAGGCTCCATGAAAATTCATTTACGTACATAGTGTAGGACTCACCTCACTGAAAATTATCCAGCCCTTAAAGTTAGCATAAGCTTGTCAGTCACAAACAACTTACACAACTTTCGTTTTGGTTAATGGCGCATAGCATTATGACGATCGTTTTTAGGGTAATTTACAAGGTCAATAAGGACGTCTGAAACTCAAATAATGCCTAGTTGATTATATCTTGTTGATCTACTTCATCTTATTGCCGATTGAAAACCAAAACTGTCAAGCCAGATAAAAGTTGAGCATCAACCCGTAGTGTAAAATACATCCTCTCATTTCCTGTGTTGCATCTAAAAAACTTTTCATAATAGGGAAAGCATTATCGTTGGCCAGTTCGATCGGAGTTTCATCGTCCTTCACTCTCAAACCTCCGATCAAAATCTTAACGGAAGCAATATTAATGGAAGCTCCGCTGGCTATCTGATCCTGATTGACCAGCATGCTCTTCATGAACGTATTCTTCTTGAACAACTTGAAGATGATTGTCTTTTTTTGCGAAATGGCGAGCTTGAGACTGTCGGTGACAGAGAAGATTCAATGAAACGCGAACTGAGAATGGCGCCTTCGAAAGTTCTTGCCCCGCCCGTCACTGTCAGGTGCCCGTCTGGTTTGCTCAGCTCTCTATTCCTATTGAATATCTTTATGCCTTGAAGCAGACTGAATCGTTCCACATCCCGTTTTACACGTCGCGCAATGCACTTATTACGACAAGAACAAATGATAAAAAGAAAGATGAAGTCGAGCGAAATAGGCGCCTATTTCATTGAGCTCTAGTATTCTACCGGTAGGCCCATGTTAACTTACCTCATAGATGGTTTTGTGATATTTCTCAGGGTTCTGGGAGTAGAACATGTGGCTCGTATGAGACGCGAGCGTATGGAAATAGCTCGACATGGCTTCTCGGTAAAAATAGTGAATAGCAGAAGTGAGCACTCGGATCATCCTCAAACAAGGTGCGTGGCTATCATTCGAACAGCACCGCGCTGTCTCGATACGGGAATCATGACTACACTGCGACAACTAACTAAAAAGCTTTTCGAGGAATACTTAGCACCAATTTCCCATTGTCACGCGTGGGCGGACAATAACAGTAATGGGAACAATTACGAAACATTCGGATTAGTGCTTCACAAATTACTCCGCTCAAAGGCATGTCGAGCGGCAATTAAATGTCCCACTCAACTTGACAGGTATTATATAATCTAACGAAGCTAATCGTAACGGTGATTTGTTTTCATAACTTCTACTTAACATAGTTATACAGTTACTTTTAGCTTCTTTATTTTACATACTTTGAGAAGTAGCTTTCTCTATTCATATTAATTGTCTAATAGATTTTCCCATTCCATCTACATCATTCCAATTGAAGTATATCTTCGTGTTTGCTGTATATACATATATATATATATATATATATATGTCGTATGTAAAATAGGTAAAAAGGAGGTAGTTATGCGAGATTGACATTAACGCTTTTATTAATGAGACTTTAGCTCGTGGATACGCAAGGTTTTACTAGCAGCATCCACAATTCAACACGATCTTATTCATTCACATTCATAATGTAATAACTATAACTACAGGCCGACTCTCGAGCGATTGATAGATCAGATGATCCAGTGCCGTCTGCCTTTTCAATGCTGTCACGGGCGCCCAACGGTAACGCCTATCCCTTTACGTTCACTTTGCTTCGACGAAAAGGAAGATCACAACTCTGAAATTATGATGCCAAACCGAGCACAGCGGCTTCAAATCGCCGCCATTCGCGAGCGCTTGGATACGACCCGATTCTCAGCTACTTCACACTGAAGTCGTACATAAACGACAGAATCCAGCCATTAATGGCTTGTTGTGAAAGTAATTAACAAACGAAAACCTTTATAATACCCCACTGACGCTGGGTATAAAAGAAATATATACACACAAAAGAAGAAACATTTTCGTTGACAAGCTATTTTTCTCGTTTCCTCAAATGTATGTATTTATTTAATGTAAATAACGTAAATTACGATATTATTCTTATGTATAATCTAATATTATAGCAAGATCTAAAATAATGTATGTTTAGTTATTATTAGTCGTTGAACATACTGGTTCAATATGTTTCCCGCTACTAGTAGCTCCCAGCACCGAGTATTTGAGTGAAAATATGAGAACATGGTTTTTGCAAAATATTTTATGTGATTAAAATGAAACTTATGTATTAAAAAACGATCTGCTCATTTTGCATATATTAAATTGTGATTGTGCGTCAATCAACGTAAGCTTGTTAAAATTACGTTATGTACAGAAAAATCTAGCACACTTAAGCTTCGGGCTGTTAGTAAGTCGAAAGTTACAAAAAGCAAGAACTTACAACGATAAGAAAAAATGTTATCTGTCCGATTCGACTGGCAATTGATATTCGAAATGATTCGTAAGTTTTGAATGTAACTTTTTTTTAAAATCAAATCTAATCTAACTTTGAAATGTAAAGCGAATTGTTCCACGAAGGTCTTTCTCAGATTTTCCAAAAACTGCGTGAAGACTGAAAATTGTGTAAATTGTCAAGCTTCGTTGATTCTGTACAGGTTTGTTTTTGTACAAAAGTGGAAACCGGCCTTTTCGTTCAAAACTCTACCCATAACTGATCTGCGGAAAGTTAGTGACCTTCTATGAATACCTCTCTTCTTGTAACTTTACGTGTTCAGAGCGACGCCCACAATTCACATTGCTATTTCCTCAAAACATAGACTATATTAAGTGTATTCAGTTTTATATCCAGCCTAGCAGGTGTCTAAAAAATTCTGGTCAGGGTGCGGAGTTTCAGTCGCGTTGGTCCTGCAAATATTTCTTACAAATGCTCCACTAAGACATTCGACATAAAAAAATGTCCTATAAGTGCTCGAAGACACTTCGCAGTCTCCTGCAAAAACGCAACTGAGCCAGGGCAATCATGAGACTCGACATATGCCTTCTACAGTAGTTCTCTCGCAGTTGCCATTCGCTACCTTTATCTGTGTCCTTGCATAAATCTTTTCTCGTAGTTTTATGTGACCAGGCTGCCCACGTTGAAAATGCAATTGTAATTACGTGGCTCAGACGTGCATGCCTAAAGCAGGCAAAACCAAGCAAGCTTTACTGGAATCAAGCCAATATCGTAAAAAATGATCGTTTGATTGTGGTTTGCGTCGACCTTTAAACGCTTGCAGCTTGATCCTTGTACAGCATACGCGTTGTCTCGCCAGTGTGAAATGTCTGGAATACTAAGTGTCCTTCCACAGACAGGACAACCTCCTTTCGACCGAGTCCTCTTTTCCGCCCCCTATTTGGCGCCGGCGATCATGTAAACCCTGGTCTTAGACCGCTACCAGCATTTTTCGGTGCAGCGGAAATCACCTGATTTTGTCGGCGATTTAGCTGGCAATTCCCTGTTGCTTTTCCGTAATCTATGGTCGGGCGTGCAGGAAGCGGGCAAGGGGACGGCTGGCTGGCTTCGAGGTCTAGCGATTTCCCCATGATAGCTAGTTAGTAACGTATTTGCCTGCTATCTCAGGGACAGGTTATGATGTAGGTTCGAACCCAGCATAGACACACACATGGCTCATTTCGTGCTGGGAGCCAGCCTTCGGTTAGAGCGCCTAACGACGATACTAGATGTGTAAAACTGGAAAAATAGAGGCCTAGCGATTAGATCGCGCTTCTATAGGTTTGGCTGGGCATGGGCGTCATTGTTACTACTTGCGTGGATACTGATGACATGTTGGTTCGCGACTGCAACTTTTACAATCCGAATTAGCAGTTATTTAATATTTAAATTAGTGGGTATTACATTTAGGCCAAGTTCCTGTGTAGGCACCTAAAAGTTACAAAATTTTTACCAGTATTATTTGTTTCGAATCGAAAGAAATATATAACAACTATTAGTAAGCTTCCACCTCACATCTCATGTAAATCACGCGCAGAATCTGGCAAGCAATAGGAACAATTCTTTCCACACGAACTTAATATATAATGTGATTCTAAGCTGGTTATTCTAAGCAGATTCTAAGCAGAATCTAATGGACTCTATTACGCTATGTGGTGTTTATTTGGACTTGGTAAAAGTAGGAATGGACTTCCATAGAAAATTTTCTCAGTGTAGTTGTTTCTGCAGATGGCGTCTGCGCCCCCTTTGTCGCGTTACTTTCAAAGCAAAGTTATCCACCTATCGATCTAAAACGGCATCGCGGTTTTCTATGGGCAGAAGACTATCACTACTCTATTTGCGGACTGTGGAAGCATTTGCTTCTGTGACCGCCTGGAAAGCGCGCCATTTCACAAAACGCTTCTGCTACTTGACATTGTTGCAGTGGGAAAGTAAGAGGACGCGGGACAGTAGGGTTGAAATGATTTTCAACTGGTCACTATCTATGGCTACTGTGCAAGACCCTTATCCATTGCAGGTCCGTAGTCGCTCAGTACCCAGCCACTATTACCATTAGTGTCTCCTGCATGATTTGCCTGTATCAAACTTGTTTGTTAGCAGTTGACAGGAACTGATCGTGCTGTAAACTGCTGGTAAGAACATAATCGCATATATATATATATATATATATGCGATGTGTGTGTGTGTGTATTTGTAGAAATAACAGTCCCTTCTTCATCTGCATCTGCAGAAAGAACCGTAGAACTATCTACAGTTGTCTATCCGACTGTATTAGCTTGTGTGCGTCGACGCACTGTCTTTCTAATAGGCGTATGACGATTGGTTGAACCAATAGCCTGTCAAACAATACAGGTTTTCACACAGACCCTACCACGAACACTATTGACACACAAGCACTTACAGCCGGCACAGACGCACATATAGAATTCCACACAATTCTTTTCGGTGAGACGTTTGCAGTTGCCCACTCGCAGTTTCATCGTTCGTGGCCCATCCACCCAGCATCTAGCGTTTCCCTTCCTTCTGGTTTTTCTCCTGTTGCCATTGCTGCCTTGTCGAGGCGAGGGCCAAGGAGCGATTTAGCCGTTACGGGACGATGGCGACGCGTCAGTTGGGACTTTGGCGTTACGACCGGCTGCTAACTCTGTCGATATAGCAGCGATCGACCGCAGTCCAGTTACCTCGACTACGATAGCGCCAAAGCACCGTTAGTGATCGTCCGTTACAACTGAAGCGCCATCAGCAGGCAGTTGTTACCCGGCAGCTGTACTAGTTCATCTGCCGATTGCTGCAGCTGTTGCAGGTTGTGTGACGACGTCTCATTATTCATCTACTGCCAATATGAGGTTGTACCTTGTGCTTCTCCTCGTTGCCCTCGTTGCAACGCTTGCGGCTGGTGAGTTTGTCCAAACCCCCTATTGCTGGATGAAAACTACTGAAGAGCCTATCTAAGTACAAGCTGTTGCTTCTATTAGTGGCTTGGTACCCGATTGAGGACTGCGACTTTTAGCCCACTGCTTGAAGAAACAACCTGAATCGCGGACACAGGCCACTAGACTACGTTAAAACTGTTTTACGTAAACTAAAACGGTGCAATTTACCACTGAATGTATCATATCTAGGAATTAAAAGTACTTCATTGATTTACACAGATTGTATGTGGTATTGGCGAGACATGAAGCAGCGACCTTTGGTCTCTTTCGACAAAATTATGCGGTTAGTTCGATATGAATGAATTAATGAATATCGTTGCAAACCTACGGTCTTCTAGCGGTGGCATAAAGTAATATTTAATTGATCGTCAATACCGTCTTTTCCAATTAGCCGTATTTTAAGGACAGGTCCAATACTGAGAAGTGAAAAGCGCGTCATAGTTATATTATCATGTAACTATCACGCGCTCCCCAGAGGCGTTTCATTCAAAGCCGACTGTTTCTGTCACCAGACGTGCCACATTGCTATTGGCTAGAGATCTGTCCCCTTCTCTGTTCTGGGCACATTTTATCGTTAAATCTTCGCCGCCTTGGTGCTCTGTAACGATGGCTGCAGATTTGAACGACGTGTACAAACAATCAATCAATCAATCAATGGCCAATAACGGTATCGTTGCATTGGTGCTTGTTGTTGTATTGGAGAAGTAAGTTTTTACATTTTTTACTATGCAATTTCATATTATTACGTTTTCCCAAGTACCTTTATAACGCAAACAGTACTACGTGACGTCATGGGCTGTCGCGGCTATTTCCTATTGGTTCAGAAACAGCTTTATCAATTTGCCCAGTTTCCTTTTCCCGTAGGCTAAAAGAGAACAGGTTTTGGAAGAAGCGAAGGTTGATGAACTAACTAGCTTGAATACGCATAGTATTATAACACGTGGTCTATGGCCGTGGTGTCTGTTAATGAAAGAAATGAATAGAACCTTTGATTGTGATACTGCAGGACTCCAGCTTCTTCGTAACATAGAAAGACATGCTATATAATACACTTCTTTTTTACAGGTCAGAGAAAGAAGACGCAAGATAAAAATTGCGCATTGGCCAAGGACCCAGGTCCTTGTAATGAGCGCGCAAGTCTGAAGTGGTATTTCGACTCGAAGAGCTCGAAATGTCGTCGTTTTGTTTATGGCGGCTGCCAGGGTAATGGAAATCGGTGGGATAGTGATGCTGAGTGCAAAAGGAAGTGTATCGTCGAATAGGTCAGTAGGAACCAAAAGTGTCCAGGTAGAACGCGATCGGCGAATTGTTTGGTCTATTTGAATCATGTGCTACCCTTAGTGTACGAAGATAAACATCAATAAACGTTTTGGCAAAGAAAAACTACTTGAGAAGGATGTTGCAAAAGGTGAACCGTACGACCAAGGTGTGACTTGAATAGATGGTAGGTTAGGTTTGAAATATTTAGATTTGGGTTGTTTCCGCAGTTTGGGTAAATAGTCTGTTGCAAAGAAGACTGTGAGTAGCGGGTTATGAGAGAAGGCACTCGCAAGCGTGGTTTATAGCCTCACAATTCATGTAGCACACGTTTTGTTGAAGACATTTTTCGTGTCGGCGAATCAAACAAAGGTTTGCCTGAGACGCAAGCTTGAGTTCACGGGATACTGTCGAGGCTAACGTGCCGTCCTTTTACACAAAATCGCCGTGTAGGCAGCTGGGCAAATTAAAAGTAATCAGAGAAAGGAATATGCAAAAACACGGAGTTTTAATTTGAGTTACGGGTATTTAGCCTGGGTATGGACGCACTTTTGCCTAACTTATCTTCCTGAGTAAAGCGCACAGAGAATCATATATGAGAACAATGTCAACTTCAGCCGTGGTACTGACGAACTGTGTATTAACATGTAGAGAAATACAACCACAGCGTTAATTCAATTGTCCAGTATCAGAGTAACTGCGATAACAAAGGCATTTCCGACGGAGTTAACAGTCAAATGACGCAAAAAGTCAATATTGAAGCAATATTCTTTAGTTCCGAAGAAGAACAATGTATTTTTTTAGTTTAGAGAAAAGAACACCAGCAATGGCGCGTTGATAAGTTGGATGTTGATGTCTTTGGGTCGGTCGCTGAACCAAACCTCTATTCATTGACTGTCGCTTATTATTATCTAAGACGCAGACTTGTTAGATGGGAGAACGCTACTTTGGCTAACATTTACATCAGTCACGCGAAGATACATTGACTTGGCTAAGTCAGAATACATTTCGTTTTGAACCGAAATACATAAATGAGGCTCGCTATCGGGGCTCAAAAAAGCGGCTGAATGTCATTTTTTAAGCCCCTTTCAGCCGCAAATTACTAATACCACTTCTAGATGGCTGTAATTACATATGTCTTCGCAAATGACCATTTTATTTCGGCGCTCACTTCAATAACTAATACTTCAAACTTTTCTATTACCTCCGAATGCACAGAATCTAGAAGGGAACCCGCAATCACAACGATTGCCTCTGCTCTATGAATTTTTTTTAAATTTGCCATCTATGTAGCTTCACATGGACTTGTCCGAGGAGATGACTGATTAAGAGGTAATTATATATGCGCCACTCCATCTGTTTGTTCGATTATTCATAGCAGTTACCGTCGCTGTTGCTATAATATACGCCGTCTGCGCCGCGTTAGTTGTGTCGGGGTCATGACGTACGCGCGTTAGATTCAATTTGATTCCCGACGTCAATAAGGGTGGGTCTTGCTCTACCAGCAGGAGTTATTGGGACTTAGCTACCTATGCAGACCGTATCAGGCCATAGTGGTAATAATGTAAGACGGACGGCGAGCGTGAGGAAGGCCGAACCGCCTATTTGCCTCGGGCGAACACCTTTCACCAAACGTCAACTGCCGAACCCCTCGCCTACGACACAATCAGCTAGCATCCATAGGAGTCGTCTAGTAGCGACTAAACGAACCAGCATCGAAGCCTATCTCTATGCTTTTGCTGGCGATAAACCAGCGCCATCCAACACCGCCACGTAGAGCGTCGCGCTACAGCCGTTCTGCTGCAGCTTTCCTTTGAGCTTTTTGTGATTACACTGGCAACATGGTACTGAGTCTGAAATCAGCGTATGAGACTGATTGCAGAAATCGTTTCTATTTTGAAGAATATATTATATATTAAGGAAAAAAAAAAATAAAAAAGAATAGATGCATTCAAAAAGACCTGGCGAGGCACGTTAGTATACCATGGGGACACCCGGGATATATTTTGAGAAATTTCTGCTTCGACGCACTGCCACGAACCCGCTTGACGAGAGTAAATGACAGATTGGTTATCAATACAGAATTTTTAAAGCTGGCGTTGTAATTCGTAACGTAAATTGTCGTGAATACTTTCAGAATACGATCATGTCAGATAATGGCCACGGACGAGTTCAACAAACGAAAAATCACCATTATTCGAACTAGAAGAAAAAATCAATGTTTCATATCTAGGGCAAACATCTTTTATGTGCTTGTATCGTTTACAAAATCTCGAGTAAACTGTAGGTGGGAGAACAAGTCGTGTTCACAAGTTTCATTGACTTGCCCTCCCATGGCAGAGTCATCAGTTCTCTCCTCACCTGCGGCTTTGAGTAAATTAACAATGTCTCCATTATACTTTCTTCCATAGCAAATTTCGTCCGTCAATGAGCGCATAGGCGTAGAACAGTTTCAACATCGTTCTGAATACGATGCGCTTCAGTGTGGCCGAAACCTTCCGAGTCACTCAAACCGCAGGGAGTGCCTGGCTGTACGCGAAGTCATTGAGAACAACTGAAGTCGGACAAATCGTATCGAGTAACTACATGAGAGCCAAATTGAAACGAATCAAGGTCAATTGCCCGGCGCCGAGGTTCCATTAGGTGTTAATAAGCTATCAGTGCATGTTATTCTAACAATATTCATTCGAAGAGAAAACGAACAGGGAAACGATATATCATAAGGTAAAAATCGATACTGAAACTCGCATCGTTGAATGCGTCTCTCCATTTTGCTTCGCTCTACTTCGATGTAAGACAGAAACAAAGGCAGTCCACGAAAGCCATATTTACTATTCAGTGCTTAAACAGCGTACGCATAACGTTTGATTAATATGATACGAACATTACTTTATATAAAGATTATAATACTGTGTACGTGATTGCAATAATAATAAGGTAATGAGATAATAAATATGGTGCGCGAGCTGTTATAAGAATAATGCGTTGGTTACGTTCAATTCAACCTTAGTATGCCCCTACACGATAGCGGATTTGTGAACTAAAAGCATTCACAAACTGATCTAACCAACATCGTGGACGTCTATGCAGCTAAAACGACATGCTGGCAAGTACCACACTACGGTTACCAATTGCACAGACACACGCTCCTGTTGCTCGAGCATTTGACACTGATCCTATAATCGTTTATTTGAAGTCGGCGACGTAAAACCAAGGCGTCAATGAGGCGAACACATTCAAATAGGATGCAACAGGACAGCATGGGCAATTAACGCAGGCGGTGCTACAGAATGGGATTTTAACACATAATTTATAATTACATAAACCCGTGAGGATTTTCAGGTAAGTTTTTGTATAACTATTACAACTGTAATATAAAAGTGTTAAATTAAAACTGCTAGCAAGGACGGTTACTTTAAATCGAAATACTCCTTGGCCCTTTGACCAAGCTGCGCTTGATGGACAACCATCCTTAGCAGCCTCACCGGATGAATTTGTTACTTTTTGGTTAACTCTTCACGCAATAATATTGTAAATGGTAGTACAACATTGCTTACGTACGCTTTGTACATCTTTGATAGGTGTTTTTTTATTGATACCAACTTTCGCTTACCTAATAAAATAAAAAGCCTTCTCAAAGAGCAGCAGGCAAAGTCAACTCCCTCTACAAGTAGGATTTCGTTCCGAAAGTACTAAATGGTATAGCACCTCAGTTTCAGCACAAACGATTCTCTTGGCTCATATTATTCCAGATACATAGTTGCTTATGCTGTGGACCTAGGATCTTACCAACGCAGCGCCAATAGGTGCGCGTGAATTGTTGAAATTGTTGAATTAAAGTGTGGAATTTTTCAACAATTACATAACTTCGTAATGCAAGTTTACTATTGTTATAATTTCATCCTAGTAATATGATTAATCAGCAACTAAAGTTAACCACAACTACCTAGGTAACAGGAACCAGGATGGGTCTGAGATGAATATGGCACCAGCCATAGATTAGATTGTAAGTCCTTTCTCAGATCGAACCACATGCTAATCTTTCATTGGGATTACCGATATTGGTAAAACCTCCACTCGCACCGAACTTCTACATCCTCTTGCGCAAACCACTTGTTTGCTGCATAAATAGGCTTTATAAAACACTTAACTTATTCAAAATCTAGTAATATTAACTGCTAGCACGCGTTTGATTTCTAGCGTTGATGATATGTTCGTTACGTAAGCTGTCAACAACCAAAAACTTGCTTTTTTTTGCCAACTTATGCAGTTTGAGCGCTAATTTTACAAGGCCGAAAGTCCCTTTCCAATTAAACGCCACATCCATGATAATTGGTTATATTACACAGTAATATAACATTCTATAGACGATGTTTTTCCGTATATTACTAATACATCATACGACTCTCAGGGAACGATATTCGGCCACTCTTAAAGGCTCTCTCCATGTGTCTATCAGGCCACACCACCAGCACTGAGCTATTTCGTAGTCAATCAACACTAACCATAACTAAAAGCATTATAATTATGGTCTCGGTTGCTGAATTGTCTTCGTGCGGTACCGGGGGGGGGGGGGGCAGCCTGCCGTACGATGATATCTACATTCGGCGCTTCTAAGTCTCTATAGTGTAGCATACTTCGAAGAACTCGTAAAGATTACGTAAAAGGTCGATATTCGTCTTGAGGATTGACTCGAGTCGCCGCTCACATCCGTGCCGTTTTGGATCGAAACATTCCCCAAAACATATAGCGCGTAAAAGAAATGTGACTTCATCAAACCCGATGATCTGAACCTTCCGAACCAACAGATGGGGCTCCCCGCACAACGAAAACAGCAGTTCATCGATAAATCGGTAGAAGTGATCATCCAGATCCCGACCTGTCAAATCAGAGGGAAATCAGTTCTGATCTTAATAGTTTTGTTATTGCACCATTTCGATGAATAAAGAAAATAACTACATGAAAATGTAATCGAGCATGATAAACGCAATTTCTGATTAAGATTACCCAGATTTAATAGAAAAATTCATTTCAATATACATACATATGAGGAACTTTAGTAGATTCTAAATATCTGTAGCATTTCTCTTAATATCGAACACGTTGCTAGGTATTGTTCAGTAGGTTTAACGCAATTTACTATTTTACGATAACATACCTTCGACTTCAACGTTACAGTAACCTTTGATGTTGATCTGGTCGGGTTCACATGAATAGGAGTACATTGCCACTACGCCCTGTTCGAGTGTTTCCTTCGTAGAATCCCACGGCTAATGAACCTAATATGAGACGTACAGGATTTAACTTGTTTGAAGCTAAATCACCGACAAATGTTTAGAGACTCACAATACAAAAGGCTTTATTCAATCTTCGTAGGGGTCTGAAGCATCCTAGGATTGCAAATGATGTCATAAAAGGTGTATGGGCAAAAATCATAGGTCGTTTGAATACGAACGACCTATGATTTAGGGTGCGATGCGAGTATATCAATACGTTAGCTCACGTGGATTGCACATAATCATATTCTGATGCGCGATACTTTTGACAGAGCACCCCTACACCTATGGTAAACGGACGACTCAGGTAGTTGATAGAATCTTGCATGCTAATTAAACGTGCGGTGAACTCCGTAAAATCAGAAAAAGATAAAAGTAAAACACATATGTCTCATGTGTTGAGGTGCAGATCCAGCACATTTTTTGGAAACACTCCTTGTGCTAGTTGGGCACTTTAGGACCCTCGACAATATGCTCTTCCTAAATCATCTCGATTATGTAAACGCAGGAAAGACTTTTAGGATATTTCAGTTTCGGCTAGCACGGATGAGGCGGTGCCACTAAGCGTGATGTCGACAGCCGACCAAGAATAAATAGATATCACATTAATGTAATTACTTGCTCAAGCTAAGGCCTACTCGAAAACATCAGTGAACAAAGCCTTCCGTGCTTCTATTGTAGAATATCTCGTTGGGAAACTGTCGAAAATGATGTCACGGCCCTTAGGCACCCGAAGTTCAAACCCGTGATAAAAAGTACCAATATTTTTTATGGTAGGCATTTTTCCCTTTTGCAGTTGGGAAACCAGTCGTAAACAACGTCCTGCTAATTTGTTAGGACAGCACCTAGCCCAAGGCTCTCGTTGAACAGGAGAGTCCAGCGTCGCAAAAAACTCCTGTTTTGAATGTCAGTTTATAATATAGTGACATAAATTGACACGGAGGTTGTATAATCTTTAGGTCAATTTACCGGGTACAAGTAAAGCTAATTAAGTAAAATTCGAATATGCACTAGGTCTAATGAAGAGAGATATTCAATTTACGTATACTTAGAATTTCGTACTCACTCGAGATCCATGAGATCCTCACGAATCTTAACTACAATCAACATGAATAATGACATTCATGAAGTTATCAATCAAATACGATCTATCTTGGAATTTATGAGCCAAATAGTAACTTACCATTTCGATAAGTAGATATGACACTGTTCATCATTTACGAGTCACAAAATTCATAAGAACTTTTCCTATAATCATATACAAAAGGCATAACAAAATATGGGTGATTTTGAATAAAAAAGATTGAACAGAATAAAAACAGGTTATTGCTCAATAAAAATTCAACGTCCTCCCAGTTTGTGCATAAGTTCATTATACACATGCGGATTAACTCGAAATACTATGCAAAAAACATTACAACTGTTAATTTTTGAAACAACACATGCCTGCGTCTCAAGTCGTTCAATTATACGTGTGTCTAGCCTGTCAAACTTTGTCAATTTGATCTTATTTCACATCAACCTAAGTTAACCTAAAAGCCATATATTGCTCAACGCCAACTTCCTCACAGACAGTTCACTTTTAGAGCATACACGCATGAAGTTGACACGAGGAGAACTTAAGCCATAAGGACTTCGTGCGCGCAGTGGCTCCTTGGACGTGAAACCTTGCGTGATCGAATATTGGGCTATACACACTACCCCTGTGAAAATACATTTGAGTTCGTATGCTCTATAAAGGTGTGGAGTGAGGGGGACTGATCTCAGCTTCTTGACAACGTTTATTTGGTCAGATAACGTTGTTATCTGAGTGTACGATGTACAACAGTCGATTAACCATTCAATCAGGCTCTCTAAGCTCAATGTAATCTAATCGTAAACCAACCTGTCTCAAAAAGATAACCCAAACCTAAATCGGTTCATTGAAAATGTGACAAATCCCTATATGCCCAGCATCGCACAGATCGCAGTCTTTTAAGCGGATCAATGGTTACATTGGTTAATGATTTTAAACAAAACGCACTCTTACAATTCTTTTTTACAATTTAAAATACCTCTATAAATATACAGCAACCAAATACGTCTAGCGACGTGTCACTGCAACTAATCTCTTCGTAGGCATAGCACTGCTACAAGTGAAAGATATACCTATGTATTTCGCATGCGAGACAAGCTGGTCTGCGGGTACAAACTGAAGCAATGGGAGGGATAAACTCTTCTTGGAACGAGATGGCCTCCTCGTCCGTTTCGAACCATTTTTCACAATAGTTTTGATGAAGAGCTGACGCATCTATCACCAGAGTCTCGGTGCGACAGGATAATGATTACTCCTTAAACGATTAGATAGGATTTGAAATTCTTTTAGCTCTGGGGTTTCTGTCGTTGAGACTCGCTGTACGATCCTGTAGTCCCTCCTAGATTACATGCCTGCTGAATGAAATGAGCGAAGAGCGCAAACCTTGAATATCTTTCAATACTACTGATTTTGCGGCGTTAACCTGTCCCCTTATACTCACGTTACCACTTAGATCTGAAAACGATTCAAGTGAGCATAGTCGGATTATTCTGAATCTCGAAAATCTGTAGGAACTGTTGTCTGGTGTTTAGAAGCGGCCAACAGTTTTTGCGGAGTTACGATGTCAACAAATATCGGAAAGGGTGGCTGAGCTGTTAGAGGGCGTGAGAGTGGATGGTGGAAGGTGTGGACTAGCGCGGAAAGGCCTGGAGGCTGAAGCCGTAACGCGTTGAGAAAGGGAATGCTGAGCGTGAGCAACTAAGAAGGAGCACTCCCCAACTTTGACCTCATGCGTAAAGATTGATGGATAAAGCTAGTGCTAACTAGCATGAAGTCTCTATTCGACCTATCTACATATTCGTCAGCTGTAAATAATAATGATAATAAATTCGCAATTGAAATCTACTTAAAGGAAACAGGAAGCCTGCAGAAGGCAAATTTTGCATTGTAACTGGAACTGCTTCACGCCGTTTGTATGCTTAGTTTTTAAACCGTAAACATTATAACATTATTGCTAAGAAGTAAAAAAAAAACAAATTAAATAAGAATCGTTCTGCGGTAACCTTTCAAAGCTAACTCGATCACCAGTCCAGCTATCGGTCGAATTATAATAATGTATACTTATTTAAATCTAATATGATTAAATAAACCAAAGTAAATAAATCAATAGCATGCAACATACATATTCTGTACTTTGTTTAGAAATTCAAACGTTTTATTTATATATTCTTGTCTTGGTCTTTTTTTATAGAACTTTTCTAAGAACAAAAACACTGAAGTCGAAAAATAGTAAATGTTATATGTTGTCGTGTACACGTTACTTCTGGACATTTTGTTCTTTAGAAGACGCTATTTTTTTGAAATTTGCTGGTGACGGCTAATATCAGCAAGGGTCCAATTACTCACGTGACAACCTAAATGAAGACTAATTGTGCTAGGCGGTCTTCATATTAACGTCTCTGCAAACAGCGCAGTTATTCAGTCTTTAGTTGTTCTTGCAATTACAGACTAAAGCAATATATACGCATGTATACACACACAAACACATGATGTATTGAAAGCTCAATCTATATTTTTCTTCATTCGCTTTTGTTTTGTAATCTGAATGGCGCGCTATATCTACGCTTTGGTTTGTAAGTAATTTTGCAATTTACTTGGCCTATTAAGAATTTGGCTCAAGCAGGGAAAATATAATTTGTCGACAAAATTCGTTTAAGTAAGAGAAAATAAGAGTGGCTCCTCGAACTAATCACCTATCTTTTTTTTAGAAATAAATAAAATAAGATAGAATAATATCAGTCACCGACTGAATTCACCGGATGAATCCAGAAAGAAGGATTACAGGCGTTAAACCTTACGGGTCACTATTGTCGTTACGTGAAGAGTATCCCGAACGTGATTAACACTGTATTTCTAAGAAAGATACACTGGCTTTGAACACAAACTATTAAGTTACGTCGGAAATTTACAAGAACAGACTGAAGATAAACAGCTCAGCAACTGTTAATAGAGGTTTCAGCTCAAGGTGGACGACTCTCATGGCATCAGCGTAGTAATTGATCGGCCATAAGGGTGCGATGTAGTTACGTAAAACGGCGTAATTCTCTCACGAGGCCAAATCTCTTCACATGTCGCGAAAGTTATCACGTTAAGTAATAAAGCCATGGAAAGAACTCTGAGTACCCAGTGCTTACGATCAATGATAACGAAATACCTGGCAAACACATAGGAGCAAACTTTCATTTAGATCGTCGACATCCTTTATTCGCCGAAATTATATCACACGTATTAGTTAGATAACAACATTTTCACAATAAAAACACACCGCATTCAGACTAATATTTATGGTAAGAAAAAGCTTCGTAATGGTCATTTTGATCATCTGCAAGTACCTAAAAGGCCGGCTCCAGCAGACAGCAGATAAATAAGGATCCAGGCCCAGACGACGACAATGCTGCCTACTTTATAACAACAACAAAATATGTTGTTGTGCAACAAAAACAAAACAAAATTCTTTATGTAGAAGTCGTTCGATTATTCGACTCGCAGAGTTTTTGTCATAATCCACATCTTTCAGAATTAATTCGCGTGTACTGATTTCTAAAACAGCTGAGTGCGTACTTGTTGGTGATTTCTCTGGAGTTTAGCTCAATAAGAAGTTTCGTATGAATCATAAATGGAAAAATGCTAATTGCTGGTATGAACATGTATCCAGATTATGTGAATTAAATATTCTGTAAAAAAAAAGACATCTATTACTCGAATCTAGTATATTATTCATCATTGAAACAAACGGAAGTGTTACCGTCACTTTTATTTTAAGGCGACTCAAGCAAGTTAAGAACATAATCGCACCATCATAACTTCTTTTTTCGCAGTCTTACCAGGCACTTCCGTTTTATGGATGAAGGGATCATGTTTATTTACAAATGCATGTGTGATTCAAGTAAGTATAGATGTGCCGAAACTGAAATGGGGTGGTAGAAACTTGCGTACGGTTTCCTATTTTCATCACCGGACAAGTGGTCTTGCACCTGAATTGCCGACAATATATTGTCGATGCCAGGATTTAGTAGGGGATTGAAGTTTTCCGAACCGAGAATTTCATAGGGAAACCAGTTCACAGAAGCCTATAGATACTTATATGAATTTTAATTTGCCTAAGTATAAATGCATTCAACAATTTCAGTTACCTGATTCTGTCGATATTATCCATACCGAAAGTACGGGTTAACGAGATCGATCTCAATAGAAAAGTTGTGAGACGTCCGGTGACATGTTACCATTGCGTGGATCGTCGATGGCGATTAGCATCATTCAGGCCCAAGCTGAAGGAATTCTTCGTAGTCAGTCTATGTATTTGTCTTGATTAGTAAGAAAATGACGCCTGATCAAGCAGGGAAAAGAAGAAAATAATACGTAGTTTTTTAAGAACTGTATTCAAGTTTGTATCGCGCCGTTACATCAGCTACAAATGTAGCTTTTTAGATGTATAATACATTAGTTTATTCTGCTATGGTAGCGAAATACGAATTTTCCTTTAAAGAGTAGAGTAACGAGACGTTGAAGCAACTTTATCAGCCAGTATCAAGAGTGGACAAGAGCTCTTTGCTATGATATACAAACAATTTCGACTTCGGCATCGTTCGGGTTCGTCAGATGACGGTTAACTTCGAAAAGAACAGCGTTAAGTGATTGGACATCGTAGCTCCTCATCGGAAAGCGGTCGTTCCTTAACAAGAACATGCCGTTGCGTATCAGTGCTACCTGGGTAAAAACAAGCTTGCCTGTAATTCTTGCATCTGTATTATTATCGGCATTTGTTTATTGATCTTGCGCGATTTTCTAATAGAAATTAGTGATAACATGAGTTTTATACAAAATTTTTACGGTCACCTTTACTGCAGGTGAAATAAAAGGCCAACAGACTTCAGTGAGTCAAGCGATGCTCGTTGTTAGAATACACTTTTCTCAGAAAATTTCTTTAAATCAATTTCAAACAGAATATTTCAAAAAGCAGAATATTTCAAATTCACATTCAATTTTAGTTTATGCATATTCCTCAGTGACTAAAAAAGGTTATGTATAATTAGCCATGTTGGCGCGGTGCGCCTATTTAATATAGTATGTCGCGACAATATGGCTGTAGCCGATTCTTTTGTGAGTCTTTGAAGATACTGCCATACCGAGTGCGCGAGGAACAGATCGCTCCCGACCGTTGGTTCGTCCAGAATAAGCAGTAAAGGTGCATGCAGAATGCACACCGCCAAAGATAGACGGCGTCGTTGGCCTCCATTCAGGTGAATGGCCTGTAACCAATAAGCGTGTTTACTATGCTTTCGGTTGGCTCATAGCTTCGTAGTTTTGCAAATGCGGAACATGCGGAAATTGACGCTCGGCTCATCTCTGAACCGAGATAATTCTCACACTAATTATTGTATCTACCTTATCATAGAACTTGAGAGAGAGCAGCTTTGTGACGAAACCTATTTGTTTGCAAAGAGGCAATGCTGCTATTCCGAAAAGTCGTCTCAAGTAAACCAAGGCTTCTTATACCGAAAACAGTTAACACGATGCGTCCTCTTGGAGCATGTATCTGTCGGTCGTGGTGATGGATATAACAAATTATACAGTATTTGTAAGTCATAAATGAGCGGGAATAATCGTTCGTGTGAAAGGACATAGCACTATACTATTGTACATCAAAGATAATTCCCCTTTAAGTAAATCATCATCAACATACCTTTGTCATGCCTTTCGATGAATCTAATTAGCATGGTTATAACTGATAAAATTTGATTAAAAGTTAACTTTTCGTTTGGATACGCTGCAGGCAAGTAAGCCGTAGCTTAAGTACGCCAAATTGAGCCAAAAATAAGTTTTCAATCAAAGCTTCATTTACCACAAGTATACAGCTCATACAGGTATCGCAGAAATAAAATACAAGCCACTACAAGCATAAAGAAATGTTATTGTTATTGCGCTATTAATAAGATCCAGTTGTTGTCCACTTTGTGCACAAAGTCGAGAGCACACTAATTTTACTATAGAAATCTACGTTTTACTCTAAATTTTAGCTATGAGTTGTTATCTGTAGATGCAATTAGAAATAGATACATAGTTGTCTTTAACCTGTGTTTTGAAAGAGAGAAGCTTGTTCGACATTCTGATCAGACTTTTTAAAATTTTTTTTTTTATATAGATGCAGTTGCCTAAAACGCAGTTCAGAAGTGTAGTTCTGCCGCAGCTGGGAGGATCGAGAAGTGCATAGATTTTTCCATAACGCTTCATCTAGAATAGCTTCATCTAATTTCAGAATAGCGGAGAAATATTTTTTTGTGCGTCACTGATGTTTCGAGGTTAGAGGATATCCTGAAAATGTACGCCCTCTATAACTAATTTTTTTTACAGTGCCATATAATAACTATATGACACAGAACACTAAAAACAAGTAACTTGAGGTCAGAGGATTCCCTTGACAACTTACTGGGTAAAATATTTTTCTGATGATCTTAGGGATATAGATTCGAATCCAGGCATGGACACACTTCGCTTTGTGCTAAGAGTCTGATGAATGAGGGCTATGAAACCACGAAAGCTGCAAGGTATATTCACAACGCCCTGTTGAATTTCATCTAACAGTTCTTTATAAA